ATAGATAGATAGATAGATAGATAGATAGATAGATAGATAGATAGATACCGTAGATAAATTGATACTGTAGATAGATCAATGGATGGGTAGATGATAGATGGATGGATGGATGGATGGATGGATGGATAGATAGATAGATAGATAGATAGATAGATAGATAGATAGATAGACTGACCATAGATAGATAAATAGATATAGATACGATAGATAGATAGATAGATGATAGATAGATAGATATACCATATATAGATGATACATAGATAGATGGATAGATAGGTAGGTAGGTAGGTAGGTAGGTAGGTAGATAGATAGACCATAGATAGATAAATAGATATAGATATGATAGATAGATAGATAGATAGATAGATAGATGCCATAGATAAATTGATACTGTAGATAGATAGATGGATGGATAGATAGCGTAGATAGATAGAATAGATAGATCAATGGATGGATGGATGGATGGATAGATGATAGATAGATAGATATACCATATATAGATGATGGATGGATAGATAGATAGATAGATAGATAGATAGATAGATAGATAGATAGATAGATATACCGTAGGTAGGTAGGTAGGTAGGTAGGTAGGTAGATAGATAGATAGATAGATAGATAGATGAAAGATAGATAGATAGATAGATAGATAGATAGATAGACCATAGATAAATAGATAGATATAGATACGATAGATAGATAGATAGATAGATAGATAGATAGATAGATAGATAGACAGATAGATAGATAGATAGACCAACCATAGATAGATAAATAGATAGATATAGATACTATAGATAGATAGATGAAGATAGATAGATATAGATACTATAGATAGATGATAGATAGATAGATAGATAGATAGATAGATAGATAGGCAGGCAGACAGGCAGACAGATAAATACGTTTCGCTTCTTTTTTGGCAGCAGAAAGCACTGGATCGGGTAGGTGTGTGAACAGACCACGCTGCCGTTGCCCCGCACATCAGTGGTCACAGCAAATGTGACAATGTCTCTGGGTGCCTCTTCAAGGGAATTGCACAATTCACATTCCTTCAGTGTATGCTATCCTGTCTCTAAACATCTCTTTCCGGGTTTTGCGCTGTAATTATTAACTCTCCAAAGATACTCGCCAGCTGTTGGCAACGCGTGAGGAGATGCTGAAGGAAGCAAAAGGGATCATCGTTCGCACGCACCCTAATTTCTGGAGGCGACAGCCGAGCGGGGAAGGAAAGGAGGAGTAAACTAGGCAGAATTACAGCAGTCCTCGACTTACGACCACAATCAAGACACACATTTCCATTGGGGTTGTTAAGGGAGCCAACCAGGGGTGGGCTGCTGGGGGCTCACTAAGATTCTGAGGGGCTTGGAGAGCCCCCAATAACCTCAGAAAGACAAGCAGCAAGGGAAAACTCTTAATAGGCTTAATTGAACTTCTGGGCGTTTAGGCAAGAGCATTGCACACCTGGTAACAGTGTGGCAAGCTAGATGAGCGATCCACTTGGTGCTTGCAAGGAAGAGCCGTTGAGAAAATCAGATAACGTAGCCACGGAAAATTTTTTTTCCATTTTTTGTGGTATTCTGTCTCGTCCTTATTTTTTTTAATTCCAGAGTCAATCTATCTGTTTCAGCACATATCAATATCTTCTTTATCACCTCACCTTTGTTGGGGAATTTCTCTTATCTTTCCATTTTTGGGCAAAAGTCATTCTTGCAGCCATGATAATATGTATTATTAAAAAAAATATCTCCTTTTTACTATATCTTTCTGTCATAATTCCAAGTAAAAATTAGTTGGTTTATAACAGTTCGCTTAGTCACCGTTGCAAGTTACAACGGCACTGGAAAAAGTGATTTATGACCGTTTTTCACACTTAAGACTGTTGCATCATCCCCATGGTCACCTGATCAAAATTCAAAAGCTTGACCACGGACTCATATTTATGATGGTCGCAGAGTCCCAGGGGGGTCACGTGATCCTCTTTTGTGACCTTCGGACGAGCAAAATACACGGGGAAGCCAGTTTCGCTTAACAACCGGGTTACTAGCTTAACAGCTCCAGTGCTTCATTTAACGACTGTAGCCAGAAAGATCGTAAAATGGAGGAAGACTCCTTTAGCAAATGTCACATTTAGCAACAGGAATTTCGGGCTCCATGGTGGTCGTAAGCCGAGGAGGAATCCCTGTGCCTGCTGGTTTGCCAAGCGCTTGGATTTTGATCACGTGATCACGGGGGGAATGCCACAACGGTCATTAAGTGTGAAAAACGGTCATCTGTTGTGGTTCGCCAGCAGCAGGTGCGGATGGCTGAGGTTTCGGAGAGCGAGGACTCGGATGAGGGGCCTACCTGGGATGCAGAGATAGGGCCAGGACCATCAGGGGGTGGAGTGCTGCCTTTGGAGATTGTGGAGGCTGGCAGCAACGATGAGGAGGTTCCCGAGGAGCCTGTGCCCAGTGCACGTGCATGCAGGGCAGCACAGGCGACTCAGGAGTAAGGCTGCAAGGTAATGGCCCCTCCCTTAAGAGATAAAAGCCAGCTGAGAAACCAGAGTTCTTTGCAGGAAGCAAAGAAGTTTTTACACTCAAGCCTTGTGGACATTCGGACTCTCTTAGTTTGTGTTTGGAGACTCTTCGTGTTTGAAATATTTCTTGGCAACTTTATCTGGTGTTCTTGGCAGCCTTGCACCACCTTGGCAAGGCTTGTTCTTATCAGAGACAATGAGTTTGAAACAGCCTTTTAACCGGGAAGGAACAGAATTCGTAAAGAATCATTAAAAGGTTTTGCTGTTACCTCCATTTTGGGTTTGTTTCCTTGGAACCAGGTTTGGGTCAGAACATTACCAGTCTCTTTTCCCAGTGCTGATATAACTTCGAACAGCCATGAAACAAATGGTTTGCGAGCCGAGGGATCACCTGTGTTCCCTGAACAAAATGTCTCGCTTAACGACAGAAATGTTGGGGCTCCGTTGCGGTAGTAAGGTAAGGACTCCCCTGTACTTTCAAGGAATGCTTCTAAGTCTCCAAATGTTGAACGATGAATAAAGAAAGGAGAATTTGAAGCAGCCAAAAATGCCTGGATTTTCTTTCGGGCCCGATGCCCGTTTTTCTCTTTTCCCACAGGAATTCTCCGCTTTGTGAGTTAGTTCGGTGGCAACAAGGCTGGCATTGTTTCTATGTGACCCCAGTGTGGCTTTGGATTGTGGGTTGTTGTCGACTTCACAATCCACCACTGTTTTATACAATGAGGAGTAGTAGTAGTAAGAGGGGAAATTAGAATTTGAATGATGGTCGTCCTGAGAAACTTTGAACAACATGGCGATCGGCATAAAAATAACACCCAGAAATATTGAATCATTAAACAACGGAAGATTATAACTTAACCTAAATAGGTGCATTACTATTAGAACGACGTCAGCCTGTTCAATACAACACATAGGATTGTTAGCGTTTTGTTTGTAGCAAAAGGAGTGACATTCAGATAACAGATCATCAGAGTTGGAAGGGACCTTGTAGGTCATCTAGTCCAACCCCCTGCCCAAGTGGGAAACCCTACACCATTTCTGTCCAGTCTCTTCTTGAAAGCCTCCAGTGATGAAGCTCCCACAATTTCTGAAGGCAACTTCTGTTTCATGGGTGGATTGTTCTCACTGTTAGAAAGTTTCTCCTTATTTCCAGGTTGAGTCTCTCCTTGATCAGTTTCCATCCATTATTCCTTGTCTGGCTTTTGGGCGCTTTGGACAATAGCTTGACCCCTTCCTCCCTGTGGCAGCCCCTCAAATATTGGAAGACTGCTATCGTATCTCCCCTGGTCCTTCTCTTCCCTAAACTAGCCAGGCCCAGTTCCTGCAACCGTTCGTTGCATATTTTAGCCTCCAGTCCCCTCATCATCCTGATTGCTCTTCTCTGCACTTTTTCTATTTATTTTATTTTATTGATTGATTTGTCTCAGCATCTTTAATTTAATTTAATAGTCTCAACATCATTTTTTATTGTGTCGTGACCAAAACTGGATGCAGTACTCCAGGTGTGGTCTTACTAAGGCTTTATAGAGTGGTATTAGTACTTCCCTTTGTCTTGACTGTATCCCTTTGTTAATACAAGTTAGGATTGCATTGGCTTTTTTGGCTGCCGCTGCACACGGCTGGCTCCTATTTAGCTGGTTGTCCACTAAGACTCCAAGATCCCTCTCCCAGTTCCTGCTATTGAGCCTGGTTTCACCCAGGCTATATGTGTCCTTTTGGGTTTTTCTTGCCCAAGTGTAGGACTTTACTTTTCTCTACATTCAGAATATGGCGATTGGCATAAAAATAACATACTGAAATATCGAACAATCAAATAACAAAAGATTATAATTCAACAAAATATGTCTATGTTATTACCAAAACTATATAAGATTGTCAATTTGTAGTAAATATGAAGAATATTATTTTATTTGTGTAATATATGTGTAATAATATGCTTATTATTATTAAAGCTATATAAGATTGTCAACTTATATATAGTAAATATGAAGAATATTATTTTGTACCAAAATGTACGACGCTTGGGTGCCACACTGTTCACACAATGATGTGTTTGTAAAAAAAATAAAAAATAAAAAACTTGGAAAAAAAACCAAAGCAATGCAAAACAATCCGCCACTGTTTGATGGTAGCTGAGTGATGTCCTTCTCGCTTCTCCAGGCTGCTTTTGGAGGGCCAGGGTTCGTATTTGGAGTGTCCGGCCTCAGCAAATGTTGCCAGGGGTGTATAATTCACCAGGCTCTGAGAAAGCCGTTGAGTTTTGGCGCGGGGCAAAAGAGAAAGCTGCTTGGCATTCTGGTGACAT